ACTGCTCTAGTAAAACTGTTAAAGTACACTGGTTTTCTTGTAATTTTTACACTTAGCATTTTCTAAATAAAGTCATGTGATTTTGACCAAGAATAAGTGAAATAGATTATATACATATTCATATTTTAAAATCTTTATTATTTTACAAAATAAGTATTTTTCTTATTGTCAGCTCAAATAATTAAATACCTACCACAAATATACTACCTTCTGACAATTAAATATTCAAGTTAGAATAATGGAAGTATGCCCAACATCTGCAGTTTACGTGATTTTTTACCACAAATGTTACGTGTATGGGTTTCTAGCTGTTCGCTAGTTTTTGGTTTTAAACCGTAACTTTTAAATAAAACATGGGTTTATAGAATTTAAGTAGATTATACTCTGTTCAATTTCTATATCTTCTTAAATTTAGTAGAATAAATGAAAATTCTTAGATGTAAGCTTATCTATGATGTTCATTGGTACAAAAAAAATACGAATAGTGTTGAAAATAGTTGAACGGAAGTTTAAAAATAGTTTATTAGCTTTTTTGAGAATTACTGAAATAAAAAATAGTTAAATACAGAAACCCATCAGTATTAACAAAACACTGTGCCAGACAATGATGGCTTTACTTTGCGAAGTGTTCATATTTTTTCTGTCTTTTTGTTTGTAGTTTAAGCACAAAGCTACAGAATGGGGTATCTGTGCTATGCCCACCACAGGTATCGAAACCCTGTTTCTAGCACTGTAACTCCGCAGACATGCCGCTATACAACTGGTGGCCGTTCTTCAGTCAACTATTGGATTTAATATGTTGGTCTTTTTTTCACACTTGAGCTTAATATCTATGGAGAGTCGCGGACGTTAGAAGAATAGCTTGTTGGTTCACCAGTTCTTCTGAAGGACTGTAAAGTGAATTCTAATTAAATAATAATAATGAATAAAAACATCGAAGTTAAAAATGAATAAATAATATTGTGATATTAATCCTTACACTAAAAATCTGATATGTAAAATGGCTTGAATGAAATGATAACTAGTACAATTCAGTTCATCTACTTTACTCCATAACAGTGGTTGTTTATGAGAATTGATTTTATATAAGACTATTTCGTATTTCAGCCTGCCTGATGAACCTTGATATTGGGCGAAAGATCTCATCGGCAATGGGTATGGCAGATGTAGCGTATTTGACGTATTATAACATATTCTTCTTTGACAATGGGTATGGCAGATGTAGTGTGTTTGACGTATTATAACATATTCTTCTTTGACAATGGGTATGGCAGATGTAGTGTATTTGACGTATTATAACATATTCTTCTTTGACAACGGGTATGGCAAATGTAGTGTATTTGACGTATTATAACATATTCTTCTTTGACAATGGGTATGGCAGATGTAGTGTATTTGACGTATTATAACATATTCTTCTTTGATTTCACTGATAAGTTCTCAGAATTAAATTAAATTCAAACATGAATTTCGATGGGTATGTCCTTTTATTGCTACTATCAATAAAATCAGTCAAATATACAGAGCATTCTTGAAGTTTGCCGTAGGACAAAATACAAACAGCTCTTCTAACATCATAGAGTATGCTGAAAAATTGTTAACTTTGTTAGCCAGAACTTCTCATGTGTTATTCATAGATATCGCGACTCTCATCATTTTCAATTTTAAGTGACAAATGATTCTACATTTTTATAATTAATTGACTGAATATATTTGTTTATTATTAATGAGGTAATGTTTATTAAAGTTTTTACAGCTTTATTAACTTCTAAAGGGTAGAAGTGTTAGTTACGTGCTTCTACATCTCAAACATTATAAGCAACACGAATAATAATAACGGATGAACTGGGTTTAGTGGAAATGGCTCTGCTAGTAAATAAGTAGAAACACGGCCTATTAAAATCTGAATAAATAATGATGCTAATATACCATGGTAATAATGTAGTTAGTAATTGAAACTGAAAGCAGGAGCAATAGAGGTAGAAAATTTATATACTACTATTGAATGTTGTACAGTCAGACGTATGAGCGAAGCACGCTTTCGTCAGTTAGTGGTTTTTACAAATTACTGTTTTTATATAAAGCCATGTGCTTCGAAGAAAGAAACTTATGTTGTAGTTTTGCATGTTATATTATGGGCATGACAGAGAATAAGATTAATTAAGAAACACGAATAGATACAGACGTAACTGGCTTTAATTTGTTTCAAACTATAATTAGCTGTATTTCCGGAACAGGAACTGTGAAAGTTGGTTAAACAATATATCAGACAATTTATAAACAAAGTGTTCATCGCTCAACATATCTATTGTGTATAGATGATGCTGACTCAAAATACTGTTAATGTCTACAATGTGTTACTCCACAAGGGACATAAACAGAGATAGCACAAATGTATATACACTACTTCAACAATGAGTAACTGAGCCGTAGCTTCTACAGTCAGTGATTGAGAACACATAACTAGTTCAGTCAGATTTTTTTTTCTGATAATGATACGCTAATATTTGTAAATTGTTAATATGAATTTAATTTAGTAGATTAATATGACAAACTTATTCCAGAACGAGTAGTCTTCGTGAATGAGGCCTTCACTTTCACCTATCCTATAACTGGCTTAGTTGTAGCAGTGACTTTCACCTATCCTATAACTGGCTTAGTTGTAGGGTGACTTTCACCTATCCTATGACTGGCACAGTTGTAGCAGTGACTTTCACCTATCCTATAACTGGCTTAGTTGTAGCAGTGACTTTCACCTATCCTATGACTGGCTCAGTTGTAGCTGTGACTTTCACCTATCCTATAATTGGCTTAGTTGTAGCGGTGACTTTCACCTATCCTATAACTGTCTTAGTTGTAGCAGTGACTTTCACCTATCCTATAACTGGCTTAGTTGTAGCAGTGACTTTCACCTATCCTATAACTAGCTCAGTTGTAGCGATGACTTTCACCTATCCTATAACTGGCTCAGTTGTAGCGGTGACTTTCACCTATCCTATGACTGGCTCAGTTGTAACGGTGACTTTCACCTATCCTATGACTGGCTCAGTTGTAGCAGTGTCATTTCTGATGCATTTGTCATAATCTTCTTTCTTGCTAGAAGTTCTTGACAATCTGCCCGTGACTTCGTTATCCAAACAGTGACGTTGCTCTAGGACTTCCTTTCTTTTTTATTCGAGTTACTGATTTTTGCAG